GTAAACAAATGAATAACTAATCTTTAACAAGGCAAAAGAGCCAATACAACATGAGGAGTACTAGGCAAGTGTGACTATAGGACCTCAGGCTTTACTATTCAGCTATAGTAAAGGTAGAGAAGCAAATCACTGTGTTTACATAGTAGCAATGAACAGAAAGTCAATCAGAACGAATCCTAGTTGCAAAACACTTAGGGTTATGCAATAAGTACAAAATTTAACAAAACATCTACAAGACTTATAATGAAAACAAGGTGTTAACCTAACTAAATGCAGATATACATGGTTCCTGAGAGTAGACCCTCAGTGTTTCTAAGATTTCAGTTTCCTGCCAATTGGCCTATAGAACGATTTATGTTCTACACCAGAGCAGACAGGCATGCATGTGACATCCCAAATGTTGTTATATTTACATAGAAAAGCAAAGTGCCTAGAATTAAAAGTCATACAACTTTATTGTGAGACTTATTACTAGGTAACATTGATTAAGGCATATAATTTGGGTGAAAATATAAAAATATAGATAAATAACATATACTATGATAATAGAAATAGAAAGCACACACTCAAGAGAGGGAGGGAGGGACTGAAGGTATTTGGGTAATTAGTGAAGAATGCATTTACAAAAGCAACAGCCAGTCCTTATGCAGCATTAAACTCTGATAGGTCACAGCCTAAGATGCATGCCTTAAAGTGTAAAACTTCTACATGAAAACATATAGCCTATCTACAAACTGATTAACAAATACACTAGATGTGGCTCGCCTACATACGAAACTACTATTCTGCCATGAAAACAACACAGAACCAATGTGTGCTACAACATAAGCAAACCTTAAAAAACATCCAATTAACCATATATTTTGAGTATGTATATAAATGGGTGAGTTTTAGGATATATAAATTATACTTCTACTTTAAAAATTAATGAATAAAAGTTAAATTAAGCAGAAGAGAAAATGAAAACTCTTGTTATCTTGCTTCAGACAAAAAAGAGCCATATAAAGAAAAACAAGACAATTAAGAGTCTTAAAAATTAAAAATCCCATTTTCAAAAGGAACCCATTTTAAGGAATGATAGAACTAGGCAATTTTTTTTCAAAATCCATTTCTAACATAATATTTATATCCAAAATGTGTAAAATTCTTTCTTTAGAAAACAAATACTCAGTTAAAAAAAATTAATGAAAAGCAGACACAGCATGGAAAAAACAAGGACGACAAAGGAATATACAAAAAGATGCTGAGCACCACTCACCGGTACAGAAATGAACCACCTACTGTCTTTAAAGCTAACATCCCTGTCACTGATAGGGAGGCGGGAGAACCCCTGTATGTTACAGGGGCATCCACAATCAGACAGCCACCAAAGAGTCTACTAGTTTTATATAAAGTTTTATAACTTATAAATATACCAAATTTTGCACTTACCAAATACCCCAACAGTCTCACTCCTGACTATTTTTCTACTTAAAGGAAATGAAAACAGATGTGCACACAAAGATACCTGATCAATTCAGTGAGGAATTATGGGTGTTAATATGATCACCAAAAATCAGAAGCAAACCAAAGGCCCACCAACCAGTAAGCCGACAAATACATGAAATCCGCAGGACAAAGGACTTCCTAGGATCCCCGAGCTTCCAGAGACACAGATTAAAGTAGCAGTAGGAACCAAAGCACAGTTTGAAGAATCTTCTAGAAAAATGCCAGACGGATCGCAGAAAAATAACAATAACAAGCATTTCTTCACGCACGCACGCATGAAGCATTTCTTTGCTCAGTGTTTCCAGGCTGTGTGCACTACCTGACTCTTAGGCCTTACTCACTCGGTAACTCTCTGAGTTAGTCACCATATAAATTCTCAAGGTATTGTTAAACTTGTATTCAAGTAATCCAAATATTATTTAATAATGGTTCAAAATTTTATGAGTGGTGGTACTGGTCAATCAGAAATGCAAAAGAAAAGCCAAAAGTAAGTAAACGCTGTGGACTTCATAAAGAAAGTTTAAAAATTCACTTGATATGGTTGCTAAGCTCTACAGTTGCAAACTGAAATTGAATTCCGGGGTTCAATTTCCAGACTCTTCCACTTAGCTGCTTTATGATCTTGAACAAATTAACAGGACCTACCTCAGAATGTGGATGTGGAGATTAAATAAATGAATATACTGTGCTCCTCTGCTTAGGATTCTGAGGTCACATCCTAATAAAACATTCAAAACCGAAAATCTTCTAACTTGAAAATGCACTTAATTAACCTAACTTGCCAGGCATCACAGCTCCGCCGCGCAGTAGCACACTGCAGAATACAGCAGCTTATCCCAGTGGGGAGGTGCTCCATGAGCTCCATTTGCTGCTCTTGCATAGCTGAGAGAGAGAGAGAGAGAGAGAGAGAGAGAGAGAGAGAGAGAGAGAGAGAGAGAGAGAGAGAGAGAGAGCTCTGCTCTGTATGGTGCTAGCACAAGAAAAATCCGGATTCAAAGTATTGTGTCTACTAAAGCCATATAACAAGCAGTAAGCTGAAACACCTGATGGCGGGCACATACAATGTGTGTGCAGATGTGCAGGCACAGCGACACAGTAACTGTTGAGGTGCACAGCTGACCAGAAGCTGCCATTGTGCAACTGTTATCAGTCAGCTCTTCAAGACTCTCACTGTTTCTGGTTAAACAAAAAAAACTAACACATTATTCTCTCTCTCTCTCTCTCTCTCTCTCTCTCTCTCTCTCTCTCTCGTGTGTGTGTGTGTGTGTGTGTGTGTGTGTGTGGGAGAGAGAGAGAGNGAGAGAGAGAGAGAGAGAGAGAGAGAGAGAGAGAGAGAGAGAGAGAGAGAGAAAGAGAGGGAGAGAGGGAGGGAGGGAGGGCACATATGCATTGAGGAATGCATGGAGACCGGAAGAGGATACTGAATCCCCTGGAGCTGTAGTTACAGACAGTTGTGAGTTGCCTAATGTACGTGCTTGAAACCAAACTCCAGTCCTTTACAACAACAGTAAACACAGCTAAACACTGGGTCATGTGAACTGAAAATGAACTAAAATCCCATCTTAGATTTCACAAAATCCTGTCCAGAAGGCCCTCTAAGTGACTCCCAAATAATACTGTCATTTTCTCACCCCTCTGAGACTTTCTAGGCCATCTCTAACACAAGATACAAGTATCTTAATCTAGACACTTTCTCTGTTCATATGTGGAGCATATTGCATAGTTTCTGATACATTAGCTAAATTTAACAGATGGCTTCTACTAGCCCACACCTTCTTAAAAATTCCGTTCTAATAACTTTTTAAATCTACTTTTCATGAAGAGTTTAAACTTGGATTTGTCCTGAAAATACCTATATGTAGAGCTTAAAATGGTAAAGATAGTGTATCTTTCTTTTCCATGCTAACTAAGGAGATGCCTGGGAATAGTAGATACAGAAATGACCTGTTTTCCTCTGCTGAGTTTAAACATTTTACCCCAGAGAAACATCACCCCTCCCAGGCTTTTCTCTTTAACTGAATGAGAGACACTGTTATGTTGCAGAATATTTGTTTATACTGTGAAGATATGTCTTTGCCAAAGCACCTTCTGATTGGTTTAATAAAGAGCTGAATGATCAATAGCTAGGCCTAGGCAGGAAGAGATTAGGCGGGGTTCCTGAGACAGAGCAAAGGAGGGTACACCAGGAGACATGGAGAGGAAAGAGGACTTGCAAGATGGAAGAGAGATAACACCAGGTGATGGAATGTAGATTAATATAAATGGGTTAATGATGTGGGATTCCCCTCTATGTGCTCTGAATAACATTGGTTAATAAAGGATTGCTGTGGGCCTGCACAGGAAATAGATGTAGGTGGGGAAAACTAAACTGAATGCTGGGAGAAAGGAGGCAGAGTCAGTAAGGAGCCATGGAGCCTCTGCCAGAGACAGACATGCTGAAACTTTGCTGGTAAGCCACGACCTCATAGTGATGCACAGATTAATGAAGATAGGTTAAATTAATATGTAAGAGTTAGGCAATAAGAAGCTAGAGCTAATGGGCTAAGCAGTGATTTAAATAATATGATTTCTGTATGATTATTTCAGGGCTGAGTAGACAGGTACCAATAAGCGGCCTTCCTCCAACAGGTTAATTTAAGTTATAAGAGTTAATTAGGAACAAACCTAAGCTATAGGCAGAGGTTTCATAATTAATAAGAAGTCTCCATGTCACTATTTGGGAGCTGGCTGGCGGGACATAAAGGGACTTGTCATACTGTTATCAAAAAAAGACTTCAAATACTTTGCAGGAGCCAGCAAAATGATTCCCTGGGTAAAAGCACATGCTTGCTGCCAAGCCCGACAATTCCCAGAACCTACAAGAAGAAAAAAACCTGCTTCCTACAGGGTACCATGTAACTTCTAAGTGTGACACAAAGATGCGCATGCACACTTAAAGAGATAAATAAAAACCAAACAGGGTCAGGAGGATGCTCAGCTGATAAAAGCACCTGTCTCTGAGTCTGATCGCCTGACTTCAATTCCTAGAAACCGTAGTGGAAAAAGAAAACTTCCTACAAGCTGTCCTCTGACCCCCACAGGCATTACAGCATGTACAAGCATGCTATCTCTCTCTCTCTCTCTCTCTCTCTCTCTCTCTCTCTCACACACACACACACACACACACACACACACACACACACACACACACAATTTTTAAGAGAAAAAATGGGCAGTCCTTTTGCTTTAAATACATTAAAATTCGATCTAAACAATGAAGTTAATCATTGCTGAAATAAGTAAGCAAACAAAATCCTTAGAGGCTATTCCTTAATAATTCCATTGGGTAGTAGGAAAGTTTCAACCGTCTCTTGCAAAAACACTGGACTTAATAGCCTATTTGGTCGGCTATTTTGGAAATCATTAAAAGCAACCCGTATTAACTGTGGCAAAGGAAAACCTTTATGAACAAATGCAATCCCGTGTGTATAAAGGGAATGGCGGAACTGTAAAGCACAAAGAACAGCACCTACTTCATGGACAAGGGCCAGGGAAGTCTGCTTGAAGCTTCGCCCTCTACTGGCCATCAGTCGATTCAGTGGCTTGCCATCTTTACTCTGATACATGGCAACATCATAGCAAAACAACATGCCACCTTTCAAAAGAAAGAAATCAGAATAAGCATTTTAAATAACCAAAAAATGTGAATTATATTCTCAGGAGTCCCACTCTCAGCCAATTTGGAAAGAGAACTTATAAATAAAAACATAAAATGTTGAACAAACTACTATTTTTGAATATTGGTGTCAAAAGAAGGGGAAAACAGAAGACACAAAAAATTAACCTTTAATATATAACTTATTTACAAGACACGTATAAGTAACACTTATCACTATAAACATTTATAAAAAAGAAAATTTATAATTTTTTGTTCATTTCATATTTTGCAAACTATTGATACTATCCATTGAACTTTATTCTACAATGAGTTTCATTAAATAAAAGTATGTGCACATATTAATCTCTGTCAACCTTTGATAACACAAGGCCCCTACTTAGTCTATGCACTCACATGAACAAGCTGACCTCACACCTGCATCAACTGGCTTTTGGTTGCCCCTCTTTTCCATGCCTTTGTAACTATGGTTAACTGAGTTGAGAACCCCCCAAATCAATCAAAAGCCAAGGGAACCAGTAAAGTACCTGAGAGACAACTTATAGCAACCCCAGGAAACGAATGAAAACTTAGTAATTCTAAGCCAATGAAAAGATATACTTACAAACCAAAATGACATAAAATATACAGACCATTGCATTTTTAGAAACATTTTAAGACAATCTTATTTCACATACCAATTCCCTCTCCTTCCTGTTCTCCCCCTCCCCCTACTTTCTCTCCACCCTACCCCCATCCACTCCTCAGAGAGGGTGAGGCCTCCCAAAGGGAGTCAACAAAGTCTATCACATCACTTGAGGCAGAACCAAGGCCCTCCCTACTGTATCTAGGCTGAGCAAGGTGTCCCTCCATAGGGTATGGGCTCCAAAGAGCCAGTTCATGCACTAGAGATAAATACTGGTTCCATTGCTAGTTAGGCCACGCAAATTGCCCAAGCCACACAACTGCCACCCACAATCAGAGGGCCTAGTTCAGTCTTATGCAGGCTCCCCAGCTGTCAGTCCATAATCAGTTATCTCCCACTTTGCTCGGGTCAACTGTTTCTGTAGGTTTCCCCTTCATAGTCTTGGTCCCATTGCTCATGGTCCTCCCTCTCTATGACTGGACTCTAGGAGTTTGGCCCAGTGCTTAGTTGTGGATCTCTGCATCTGCTTCCATCCATTACTGGATGAAGCTTCTATGATGACAATTAAGGTAGTCATCAATCTGACTACAGGGAAAGGGCAGTTAAGGTACCATCTCCACTACTGCTTATAGATTCTTAGCTGGAATCATCCTGTGGATTCCTGGCAAGTTCCCTAGTGCCTGCTTTCTCACTAACCCCAAAATGGCTCCCTCTGTCAAGGTATCTCTTTCCTTGCTCTCCCTCTCTGTCCTTCCCTCAACTCAACCTTCCCGATCCATCAAGTTCTCCTCCTTGCTTCCTTTCTCCCTTCCTCACACTCCACTACCACACTCTAACCTTCCCCCATGCTACCAATGTACTAAGGAGACCTTGTCTACTTCCCCTTCCTAGGGGGATCCATTTATGTCCCTCTTAGGGTTCTCCTTGTTTCCTGTCATCTCTGTGGTTGTGGATTGTAGGCTGGTTATCCTTTGCTTTATGTCTAATATCTACGTATGAGTGAGTACATACTATATTTGTCTTTCTGTGCCTGGGTTACCGTACTCAGGATGTTTCTTTCTAGGTCCATCAATCTGCCTGCAAATTTCAAGATGTCATTGTTTTTTATTGCTGAGCAGTACTCCATTGTATAAATGTACTATATTTTCTTTATCCACTCTTCAGTTGAGGAGTATCTAGGTTGTTTCCAGGTTCTATCTTTCTTTAACATGTAATTCATGTTAATTTACATGTTTATTGCAAGTAATTTAATGACATGTTCCTTGCCCAAGTGTGGGTAGATTATTCCTAGAGCAAGTGGCTACACTGCTGAAGAAAATAACACGCCTCCCCATACCCGTAACTGTCAATAATCTATCCAAAAGCATAGCTAGGAAAGTCACAGGTCCCAAGGGGAACCTACTACTATGTTTTGCTAAAAGATAATGCTGTCAAACGACCTGCTAACTACTTGTGCTATACTCATTAATTAGAACTGAGTCCATCATTCATCGGAGAAACTTCATGCTGCAGTAAGCAACGGTTAATGTGGAAAATATATGACAGACAGTAGAATACCCCCCTTTTGAACTGTCAACTCAAATGATTTCCAGTTTTGCTATTAAACAATTTCTATTACTTTGTGAAAGTCCTTTATACATTTTCCATGTGTCCTCTATCAGATGTGTGTACCATGAATGTCTTCAACGTACTTCTCATTCTTTTTAAACTAGAGCTTTAAGATCTGGGAAGCTCAGTCAGCACTGTGTGCTTACCACCCAAATGTGAGGCCTTGAGCTCAGTGCCCAGTATTGACATAACAGCAGAGTATGGTGGCATGCATTTGAAGCCCAGGCACTGGGTACACAGAGACAGGTGGGTCTCTAGAGCTCATTGGGCCAACCAGTGTGGATGAACCAAAAGCTGCAGGGGGAATGAGAGGCCCTCGCTCAGATAAGGTTGAGGACCAAGGAAAACACTTCCCTTCGCATGTAAGGACATGTATGTATACCCCTGACACACACGGATACATGGACCACACACACCACAGACATACACAAATTAAGTAGAAATAAACACATAGGTCTTTTTATTACAGAGATCATGGCTTTTCTCTACATCACTGCTATAAATCTAGGGACAAATTGGCCATGTGTGCATGCTTCTTTGGGTCAGCCTGTCTATCATTGCACTAACACCCCATTACTAATTATTGTTGGTTTATAATTGGTCGTGACATCGGGTAATGTATGTCTTCCTACATTGTTGCTGCTATTCTTCAGAACTGCCCTAGTTATTCAGTGTTTTTATATTTCCACACAATTTTTGGAATAAAGCTGTCAATTGTCAAAAACATCCAAGGTAATATGATTTACTTAGGCCTATATATTAATTTGAAGAGAACTTAGATTTTACAATATGCAGCTTTCTAGCCCATAAGTATCACATATCAGTACATTTATTGTTTTTTCAATATTATTTTGTAGCTATGAACATACAGGCTAGAGATTTGTTTTAGATATACAATATTTATGATGCCATTACAGTTTTAAATTCCATTTTCTATTCATTATAACATATAAAATATAGAACCGAGTTTATATATTCACTTTTGTGTGTGTATGTATATATCTATCTCTATATATATAAAACTGATGAATAGAATTCAACTATTAATCCTAATAATTACCATGAATTATTTTAGATTGTCTATGAATATAATCATGTCCTCTGCAAGTAATGAATGTTTCATTTCTTTAATCCTTGTAAATTTTATTTCTTTTCCTTGGCTGACAGCATTAGCTATGACCTCTCATACAATACTGAGTAGGAGTGGTAATAACAGTGTTCATACATTTTTCCACTATTAGACAGCAAAGTCTCAATATTTCAGGATTAACTGCGGATATGCATTTGTGGTTATTCCTTATCAGAGCAAACCAAGTTTCCATATATACATAATTTTTAATAAAGTCTTTTTGGTTTAACAACCATGTGCTAAACTTTTCAGATCTTTTTTTTCTCTGCACATTTGACTCTACTTAAGGACTAACCTTCCTTTGTAAATTAAAGCAACGAATTATCTTGGCTTTGAATCTTTGAATTAACCATGTCTTACCCTTTACATGCATTGCTTAAATAACCTCCTTCTCACCCCATCTTTTCAGCTGTGTTCACAGAAAAGGGAGGTATATAATGTTCCTGTCTTGTAAAGTCATGGTCATGTGCTGGTGTGAATATATGCTGGTCCTAAGAAGAAGAATTCATTTTCTCTGTGTTCTTGCTACAGTCTGTATAAATCTAGTACTATTTCCTTTTCTTGACAAACATTAGAAGAATTCATTAAGAAGCCGCCAGTAGGAAGATGATTAGGTTAGAGGATGAATTTCTTCAGTCAATATCAAATTGTTCATATAAGCTCTTCTCTTATCAGTTTTATCTTTTGAAGAACTTCTGTAGCTCACTTAAATTTTGAAGACTATTGGCTAAAATTTCTTTCTTTCTTTCTTTCTTTCTTTTTTTTTTTTTTTTTGGTTTTTCGAGACAGGGTTTCTCTGTGGTTTTGGAGCCTGTCCTGGAACTAGCTCTTGTAGACCAGGTTAGCCTCGAACTCACAGAGATCCGCCTGCCTCTGCCTCCCAAGTGCTGGGATTAAAGGCGTGCGCCACCACCGCCCGGCTTGGCTAAAATTTCTTTGTAGTATTTATCTTTCTGAACGGGGTAGGATCCGAAGCAGCATTACCTTTGCTGTTACTCATATAGGCATTCTCAGCCTTCTGTAGTTATTGATTTTGTTAAACCTTCGCATGGCAAGTATTCTTATGGCTTTCATCTCATATTTTTATAATATTTACTTGATTTGCTATTCTTTTCCAAGCTATTTTAAAAAGTTTGGTTTCCTTCCTTGTTTCTAATAAGTATATTGAAAGTATACATTTCTGTAATAGCTAGAATTACTTGGGAGGAGAAACTTGATTGAGAGAATGTCTACGTCAGAGTGACCGACAGCAAAGCCTGGGGGGCATTTTCTTAATATGAATGGTTGATGCAGGAGGATCCAGACCACTGAGGGCAGTGCAATCCCTGGGCTGGTGGTCATGGCTCTTATAAGAAAGCAGACCGGGCTGGACTGGGTCTAAAAAAGCATGGGATAAAACCGGACTCTCTGAACATGGCGGACAATGAGGGCTGCTGAGAAGCCAAGAACAATGGCACTGGGTTTTGATCCTACTGCATGTAATGGCTTTGTGGGAGCCTAGGCTGTTTGGGTGCTCACCTTCCTAGACCTGGATGGAGGGGGAAGGACCTTGGACTTCCCACAGGGCAGGGAATCCTGACTGCTCTTTGGGCTGGAGAGGGAGGGGGAGGGGAGGGAAATGGGAGATGGAGGCGGGGAGGAGGCAGAAATTTTTAATAAAAAAAAAAAAAAAGCAGACCGGACAAGACAGGGGAAGCAAGTCAGTAATTCAGCTCCTGCCTCCTGCTTCCTGTCTTGAGTTCCTGCCCTCATTTCTCTCAGTGATGGACTATAAACTGTAAGGGGAAATAAACCTTAACTCCCAAAGTTTGTTTGGTCATGGTGTTTTATCAAGACAAGCAGGCAGATACACACACACACACACACACACACACACACACACACAGACAATTGTGGTGACATGTGTACCTATACTGTAATCCTGTGGGGATGGAAACATGAGGATTCCTGGGATTTGCTAGCTACTAGCATAGCTCTAGGTTCAGTGAAAAACTCTGTCTAAAAGGAATAAGGTAGAAAGTGATATATAAGGTCATGCTGCGCCCTCTTCTTACACATGCACGCGCACACACACGCATGCACACACACACACACGTCCAAGCACAATGTACATCTCCACACACATACGACACTGCTCATACATACACGCAAACACAAAATCAATCAAGCAGTCAACAGAAAGACACTGTAGCTACATTTTACAAGCTGGTTCGTCCTCACTATTGCACAGTTCCAGTTAATTTCTAAACTATCTTTATCGGTGTATTCACTGCATAAAATATTTAGCTCCACTGTGCTATTTCTGGGCATGTACATCATGCGTTTTGACCATATTTACACCAGCATCACCTCTTGGCTCCTACCTCCTCTTAGCACCCTTGCTCTGCCCAAGGTCTCACCTACTTTCATATCTTACTTGACAAATTACAAATGTGCAGTACAGTCTTCTGAATCTGACTTGTGTCACTCACTTAGTATGGTGACACATAGTATTCCTGCAAACGGCACAATTTTGCTTCTCTTTATGGTGGCATAAAATCCATATGTATGTAAACTACAGGTTATTTTAAATTAATCATTCATCTATTGATGGTCACAGTCTGATTTATGAGCAGTGTCATAATAAACACAAAGGTGTAAGTATATTATATTATATGCTAACTTTGATTACTTTGGGTAAAACCAACAAGTGGTACAGGGAGATCATTATGGTTCTCATCTTCTTGGAAACATCTGGACTGACTTCCATAGTGGCTAAATTAATTTATAGTTCCAACAACAGTGTATGAGCATGCCTTGTTCTCTCTTTCTTTATCTGCATTTCTTGTTTATTTTCTTGATAATGGTTATTCTGACTGGGCTGAGCTGGGAATCTCAAAGGAGTCATGATTTGTAGTTCCCTGATGGCTAAGGATATTAAAATTTCTTCCATACATTTGTTGGCCATTGGTTGCTCTTTCCACCAACAGACCTGACCTCTGCCTGAGCCAGCTCCCATATATCTAGTCCATAGCCAGAATTGTGAATATACTCCAAAAGGGGGGAAAAATTCTAAAATAGTTCCCCCATTCTGGAATTGGAAGCCTTTTTATTTATTTTTTTTCATTTTCTTTCTTTTTTTTCCCTCTTTACTGGAAAAAAGACTAAATACAGTCTTTGCTTCTATAGTTTTCAAAATCCTACTCCAGCTTGGTTATTTGTTGTAACTTTTCCAGCTGTGTGTAAACATCAGTAGCAGCAGCTGCAGCAATGTCTTACCATGTGACCTATGACAATTCCATGTGGAAGTAAGAGTATCAGGCTATAAACCATGTCGTCTTCTTACCTGCTAGCCCAGGTTTCAGTCCTGGTTGCTTGTTTGTTTCATACATCTTCAGTATAAAATTGGGGATTCCTGCTACTGTCTTCCCTTGGTCTGATCGGATGCCTCCTTTCAATGCCGAGTGATATATTCCGCGGGGCATATTCACCATCTCCTGTTTCACAAGGGATGTAAAGAATTCTTCCAAGGCTAAAAAGAATAAAAAGAATTCAAAACCCAAATAAATGTGGCATCCCAAAAGCAGAGAATTAATTAATTAATTAATATGGGCACCTAGCTATATTTCAGGCTGAACTTTGCAGAGTGAAAAGTAAACTACCAATTATCACCTCTTTCTTAAACTTCCTCAGATTAAAACAAAGCACGGCACAGTTAAGGCATCAGAACTTAGAATTCACTCTTACAGTAAGCTTTACTGTCACTTCTTACATTTAACTCATTGGTTCTGTGGCTCCACCCTCAGAGTCCATCCTTTCACGACCATCCTTATGAAACATTGCCTCGTTATCATCTTTGTCCTTTCTCTAATATGCTAATAAAGTTACATCCTTAGTTTCTTCTTCCTAATGATCACTCCTGCAGAATCGTCCAGGCAGAAGCTGAGATTCTCCTTTCCTTTCCTAACGCCATCCAATAGCTTTGACTGTACATTTAAAACAATACTGTACAGATTTTGATCACAAGCAAGGAAGCGTCAGGGCTCTCACCCTGACCTCATTTCTGCCGTGCTCCCTTCTTGCCAAGTTAAAGATATCTTTCCAAATAGCCTTTCGGTTCTTCAGAATTATAGGCCTGCTGTGTTGTAGGGGCATGTGAGACTTGCTTGCTGTCTACCTGGAGTATACCAGATTTTCACAGAAAGAGTCATGCTTCTCCTTTGGATGCTTTCAGAGACATCTTTCTGAACCAAGCACCTTTCTGTAGCAATGTTAGTACAAGTATTAAAAACTGAAAAATCCATTTCTTACTTCTTTATCTGCACTGCTAATGAAGCTTGTGCTCTCTGCTATTTGATACTGTATGTACTACTCAGCAACATAAAATGTAGGATCAGAAGACAACAAGATGTCAAACAAAAAAACCGGTAAGGTAAGACTTATGGGTTCAGGGCTGAGTGCCATTTCCATAAGGGCCACTAGAGGCTGCCCAATACAGAAACAAAAACAAAGCATTAAAGCTAGATAAATCACAGTGGGGGAAAAAAACACACACACAAAAAACAAAAAGAGAAAGTACTGAATGCTCCTCCAACAGAACAGAAGGGCAGGGGTCCACCCAGTCACATCCAAATTTCATTAGGAATATTTCAACCTCAAGGTGCCCTTTAAATGACCATGATTTAAAGCAGTGAACACCCCCTAGAACATCCTATTAGGTGTCCTTCTATCCATATCATCTCCTGGATGTAACCAAACTGATCCATACAAAGCGAAGAGAGGGACTGTGGAGGTAGCCCAGTCAGTAACATATGTGGCAGAGCATGAGGACCTGAGTTCGATTCCCAGCACCTGTACAAGAAAGCCAAGTAAGGCAGCATACACACACCATCCCCAGTCAAAGACAAAGAATCCCTGCAACCTGCAAGCTGGACAGTCTACCCAATGGCAACACTCATGTACAACCAAAAGACTCTTCTTCAAGAAGTATGGAGAACAGCAATTGAAGAAGACACCCCATGCCCATCTCTGGTCTAGACACATTCACACTCATACACAGATAGGTACACACATACATACACACACATAGATGAGAACATCTGTTGGGACAGTTTCTATGACTCCTCTACACCTACCCTCTACCCTCTACACTGCTCTGTAGCCTCCAAACAAAGATGTGGGAAATGCATCAACAGGCTGCTCAATGTTTCAGTCACTGAAAGGCACTGGCGAGAGATCAAAGGGTGAAAATGCAGTGAAGCCAGGGAGCTTATTCCCTAGACACTGTCCAACAGGTTACTACAGGCTGCTTGCACCCTTGTTTAGAGGGCTGTCTCCCCTTAGGCAGCTCTATCTGTGACATCAACGTCTCTCTCCCTCCGTCACAGGCCCGAGTACCTTAGCTATTCTCAGAGGATTCATCCACCATGTCTAATGAATTCCATTAACTTTGAAAACATACTTAGAGAGAATTACTTTATTAAACTTTTTTCAATTATTCCACTGAGAATGAACCCCGTGTCCTGTCATGACCTTGATGAATCTAAACAAGTGAACAATATGTAACCACAGGCTATGTGCTCCAGTTCCTGAACACTGTGCTACAGGTACAACTGCTGCAAGCTCAATCTGAGAACGGACTTTACAAAATGTGTCACGTGATTGTGCAGATAGGAGCACTTTGGTAAGAGAGGATAATTCAGAAAGAACTGTGTTCTGACAAAAGGGCACATGTCAAAAGAGAAGGAAGGATAGATAGGCTTGCAAGTGCACTGCTCTAGCAACGGAAAGTCTTCTTGTCAAGATCTGTGCTCAATAAAAACCTCTCAACTCCATCACAGAGAAGTGAGGTGCGGATGCAGGGGCGTGAATGAAGCAACTATGGAGAACACATCTCCAAGTTAGTAAACCAGCAACTAGCATTCTCTCCACTCTCTGATGCTTTGGCCTTGGCCTCTTTGTTATATATAACCAGGTGAGAATTTGCAAAGAAGAAAATCCACAGGACAACAAGGTGAGAAGTTAACACTGCAGTTATGGCTAATGAAAAATCATCCAATGGAAAAAAATATAAAATTAATACAAGGAGCTAGGTTAAGGACCTTAAATACACTATGCTGAATAAAAAAAAATCTAACTCCTAAAGTTCCCAAACTTGTAGTATCTGGAAAAATCCATATAGGACTACAGTACAAATAGATTTAAACTAGAACTTTAAAAATCTGAAAAGATTTTTCTGGAAAGATTGCTTGGTGGTTAAGAATGAATACTGCTCTAGCATGAGACCAGAGTTCAATTCTCAGCACCAACAGGGCAGCTCACAACTGTGTTTAACTCCAATTCCAGGAGATCTGATAGCCTTTCTGTCCTCCATAGGTGCTGGGCACACACATAATGCACTTACATACATGTAGGCACAGCACCCATACAGGTAAAACTTTAAAAGAAAAATGTGTGTTAAGATGAAGAGGAGGAGGAGAAGAAATAACCAACAAGAGAAATAGGCCATGATCCCCCTCTTTTCAGAGCAATGGCTTTACTGCCATCAGTGACTAGTGAGCATCAAGCAATCCACACCCAGTATGCTTCTAGTCTCTGTTCCTACGGTGCAACCTATGCCCTTCTCTGTCAGTACTACATTAATCGGAGCCAGTGAGCACAGGATAATGTGACACACTGTCTATGGTCATGGTTTTCCAGACATAGTTAATACCTCCATGATCAAGTTGACTCCAATTAGTAGATTTCCTCAAACAATCACAGTTGATATAGTACTGTAACCAGCAAGTACAGACACCAGCACAGAGATACCACTGTTCAAAAGAGCTGCTCAGTAGCAATGTTTTCCTTCTTCCCGGGCACCTGCACCCTTCTGATGAATACAGGACTGCAGGAATCAGCAAAGGGTGCAATATCATTTTAATAGTCCAAATAAACTATTGTCCATGGCGGTTTTAGGACACGGGAGAAGTGTTGTATAATAAGGGTTTCCAACTCCTGTGAGCCCTGGAGAGACTCAAGGCTCCCGGAGAACTAGGAGGTAGGAAGTGCGGAGAAGAAATAACAGTGAGCCGGGCGATGGTGGCGCATTCCTTTAATCCCAGCACTCGGGAGGCAGAGGCAGGCGGATCTCTGTGAGTTCGAGACCAGCCTGGTCTACAGAGCTAGTTCCAGGACAGGCTCCAAAAACCACAGAGAAACCCTGTCTCGAAAAACCAAAAAAAAAAAAAAAGAAAGAAATAACAGTGAACAAGTATTGGTGGCTTGCTGTAAAGAAGAAAAGAAATGAAAACATGGTATCTTTGACTCAGCTCCAGTACTCAGCTGGCTCTCCTGAAAAAAAGCAGGGATGGACAGGTGTAATGGCGTAAGCGAATGCAGACAGATTGTCAAAATATAGACAGCTTTAATGGAGGAATAGACTTACAGAACCACTGTTCCCGCGGAGACCAGGAAAGCAGAAGAGGACGCTTTAATCCTACTCCTATTGCTCAGTAATTTAAAGGCTCGTGTGGTCAGAAAAAGAGAGATATACAGTAAAGAGATTCAAAGACAAAGAAAATTTTTAAATGATTTACAGTGTGTTAAAAATATATGCAAGCTAAAAGTTAAAAGTTCTTAAAAGTAAAAATAAGCAAGAAAAAGAGAAGTTGTGTGTGGTAATACACGCCTTTAATCCCAATGCTTGGGAGGCAAAGGGAGATTGGCCTCTGTGACTTCAAGGTGTGGTAGCACACGCCTTCAATCCCAGTGCCTAGAAGGCAGAGACAAACAGAGATCTCTGTGAGTTCAAGGTGTAGTAGCAAACACCTTTAATCCCAATGCCTGTGAGGCAGAGACAGGCGGATCTCTGAGAGTTCAAGGAGAGCCTGGTCTACAGAGTTATTCCAGGTCAAAGAGATACAGAGAATATAAAATAAAAGTAAAAATAAACGAAATAGAGGTTAAAATAAAGCGTACAAAGATGGAAAATACACAGAGAATCTTGATACTGTATACTATTATGCTCTCTTTGAATTGTTTGAATGCTGAGGAAGGAGCAACAGATGCTAAAAGATATTTGTTTATAAATGCTGCTGAACTAATCCATCGTAGAGATTTTGATGCCTTGACTTTGAAATTTGGATCTAAGGACATGATACTTTGGAAAGGAGTTTCTTATTTTGTTTTCACAGAGGATGAGACCCTGTTCATTTCTTCTATTCCGATATGGTATGATGGACCACGCCCTCCTGAACGGTTGCTGTGAATACCTTCAGAAAATTGCTTCGCTCAACTGCCAACTGAGATGAAACTAGCACACAGGTTATACCATGAAAGACCTAATTAACGACGCCCCCATTCAGCAGGAAGCAGTTTGGAGAGAAAAAACTGCGCCCATGTTCCCAAATATTGTTTATAAATGTTCTTTTACATTTAAAGGGGGAGATGATATAGGTATGAATAATTTACATTGATATGGATTTTGCTTTAGTGATTTAAATTTAAGGTTAATTTTGTAATGTATATAGGTTGTTAATGAATAATCATTAATAATAGTTAAGTTTGTAGTCATGTTAGTTAAGATTTTCTAGATGTGCATAGATATATTTTAGATAGGCATTCTTCATATTTTTCAAAGATTATAGAATATGGCATTTTAAATGTTTTAATAACTTAGGACTTTTCATGACAATGAGACACTCTGCTCCTGGCAGCACCAATCTACTTCAAGAGGAAGATGGGCATCGAAGAGGATCCTTATGGAGTTTGATAGCCATTTGGGCAAGAAACTGCTCTTGCCTGGACTATTGCATAAACTGGACACAGAGAACCCGCAGAGAGAGGACTGCTGAACTTGCCTAAAGGTGAGATGATCTTTCGGGGTTCCTGATTCATGAAAGAGTCTGCAAGACATTCTTCAGGACAAGCAGATAGTGACTGCCTTTGAAATTTCCTGCTTTGTGGAAATGTCTGCTGGAAACTATGGGCCTGTAGGCCGAAGATGGATGCCCCAACGGTACAGAGGAACTTTGGGTGACTGTCCAGGCAGCGAGATGTCTCTGTCATTTCTAGAGCTTTGGATGTTAAGTTAAAGCCTTTTTTTTTTTGTTTAAACAGAAAAAGGGGAAGTGATGTGGGAGTGTCATATATCAATCTGTTGATTTCATTGGTTAAGTTATAATAAACCAACTGCTTGGCCTCAGCTTGGAACATAGATGGGAGGAGTAAACAGAATAGAATTCTGGGCGGAAGAGGAAGTGAGGTCAGACTCTGCTCTGCTCCCGGAGAGACTCTGCTCTCCGGAGCACAGACGCCATGCTCAGCTCTCCCGGGTAGACGCGATAGCTCTGCTCTCTGAGGCACACGCGATGAAGATGGATGTAGGCTAGAATCTTCCCGGTAAGCGCACCTTGGGGTGCTTACAAACATCATTAGAAATGGGCTAGTCCAGGTGCGAGAATTAGCCTATAAGGGCTAGAGTATGGGCCAAGCAGTTCTTTAAATGAATACAGTTTGTGTGTTGTTATTTCGGGCATAAGCTAGCCAAGCGGCCGGGGTGTTGGGGACGCAGCCCCGCCGCCGCTCCTATTTCAACAGACAGGAGTTTTATCTATAAATTAACAACAAATTTTAAATGCAAAATTTTAATCACAGTCCATAATCCATTATCTCAAGCTATAATCATTTATTGTTTCTTAGGTAAGACTAAAATAGGAACAGTGAAAGTTTTATGTGCGTGAGTACCACACATAGGCACAGCATGCCTTTAAAGGCTAATGGTCCAATAAACTTTATATCAAAGCTGAATGACCACATAACTTGATCCTTAAAATTAAAAATAAAAAAGACATGGTCTCCTTATGTAGCCCTGGATGGCCTGGAAGTCATGGCATGAACCAGGTGAGCCTCAAACCCATAGTGCCTGGCAAAGGTACAACCCCGTCTTGCAGCTCACGACCCTCCAGCTTCTTCCTCATCAGCACATCCCACCTGTGTGAATCAGTGCACACATCTTGACCCATTATTTTAAAAAGCATTAATTTATAGCAGTCAAATACTAATGATGTGGTTAGTACACTTTATAGACAGAATAAACCGGCTTAGAGAGGTGGCTCAGTCGTTAAAAGAGTCCTTGCTGCGTACTGGCTCTGTGGGAGCCTAGGCTGTTTGGATGTTCACCTTACTAGACCTGGAAGGAGGTGGGAGGTCCTTGGACTCCCCACAGGGCAGGGAACCCTAACTGCTCTTTGGGCTGATGAGAGAGGGGGAGTTGATTGGGGGAGGGGGAGGGAAATGGGAGGCGGTGGTGGGGAAGAGACAGAAATCTTTAATAAATGAATAAATAATTTAAAAAAAAGAGTCCTTGCTGTTCTTGCAGAGGACGCAAGTTCTAGACCCGCACTCACGGGGCAACTCTCAATAATCTATAAAACTCCAGGCACCAGGCATGAACACGGTTCAAAAACATACTTGCAAGCAAAACACCCAAACATATGAAAGAATAAAATAAAATAACTTAAAAGAAAGAACAAGTTCATAATGGTGAAACTATCAGTAAATCTCTCAAAAACTGAATGACCTTCTTTCTCACTTAGCTTATAACAAAAAGGCAAGAATTAAAGCAGTGACCTGGCGTCCCAGTGCAAATCTGCCTTACACAATAAATTCAGCTTCTGAAGTGAATTCTACCACTGAGAATAATTGCTTAAACTCACTTTCCAGCTCAGTGTTACTGTCATCTAACGGGTTTTATTATGGTTAAAACACCACATTACCTAAGGCAATCCCTATAGAACGCGGTTATACTTATCATTTCAGCCAGAAATTATCTACTGGAGAGTAAACTACAACAAATGCACACAACAAACAAACAAACAAAAAGCACCCACAATTTATCAAACAGGCAAAATCACTAAAAAAAGGTTAGCCCCATGGTTGCCAAATAGGAATCACCTGGTAAAACTGAAGGCGCGGTGATTGTCAACAGTCTCAGATAGCAAGGGCCAGGAATGGAAAGGTCCACAGTCTCCTCCTCATCCAACTCATCAGGAACAGGCATTTCTGGCCTTATCTGAAGGAAGTAATGACATGTCAGAGAGGCTGAAATTAAACACGCAAAATATATTCTTTGTTGACTCTGTGTTAAGATGTCAAAGTTGTCTTAGATGCATTGCTCTTTAATATCAAAAGATAATTTAAATAAAAATTTAAAAGAAGTTATGTAACAGCAGGCATGGTAATGCACACCTTAAATCCCAACACTTGGGAAGCAAAAGAAGGTGGATCTCTTTGAGTCTGAGGCCAGCCTAGTCTACATAGTGAGTTCCAGTACAGTCAAGGTTACAAAGAGAGACTATGTCCCAGAAAACCTCACACACACACACACACACACACACATGCACACTCATATCCCAGACTTATTAAATGGTAAACTCTAGTAATTTTATTTGGTATTATCTCAGTTCCATTTAAAGAACTGATAGTAACACAGTTAAAACATCACCATAAGCTAGCATGAGCAATGATTATTATAGAAAACTAATAAAATTAGTTTTTATTAGTAAAATAATACTACATGCCACACAGTAAAAAGATACCAACGCTGGCATATTCAATGTGTTCAACCTTAGTGTTGTATAATTCAATATTTGATTTATCTGATTTTTATTTTAATTCGTGATTTAGAGGCTAGAGAGAGGCTCAGGAGATAAGAGCAACTGCTGGTCTTCCAGAGGACCTGAATTTGGATCCCAGCACACATGCTGGGCAGCTCACAACTGTTTACAACTTTGGCTCTAGGTGTTTTAACATATTCTTCTGGCTTTTATGGCTGTAAACACACACACACACACACACACACATCTTTTAAAAATCCTTATCTCAGCTATATCTCTACGACAAAGCTTAAAACCTTCTATTGGAAATACGTGTAGATTGGTGCATGACAAATATTTTACTTGATATTCTTTGGACTTGACAATTGTTGCTACAGAAAACAAAATTACTAAAATCAGTAATCAGTAACATCACTTTATTGTATGTAATTTGTATTTTGAAGATTTTTTTCAGTTGCTTTGTATGAATTAAAATAAGAACTAACATTAGCACTAGCATATTTTCCACAAGATATAATGGTAAAGCAATTAATTAAAATTTTAATACTTTCAATGACACACCATCATAATGTCCATGCAGAGATAATTAGCATTAGGGTAGGGAATCAAAATACAAAAAAGTGGTTGCTATAATCATAAAGTACCAGAACCTAGTCGTTACCATTTGCCTGTCTCTGGGAGTTATTTTTAGAAATAATTAACAATTTCTACAGACTGCCTTCTTCATAGGTCCCCAAAGCACCATTTCATTAGCAACTGCACTGAGTCAGGATTCTTGCAGAGAAATAAAAGAAAACAGACAGCAAATGCTTCTCTTATGTATAATAATCTCAACTCCAGTGACGCTGCTCAACCATAAGGAGAGTTATCATCAGTACATGAAGCACATGGGAAAGCAATTTAACCTCCAGAGTACTTTCCAAGATGAGGCTTCAATTAGATTCAACTCTGAGAACTTAGCTCTAAGAGAAATAAGTCAGACACACTTCAGAAGTAACAATCGGGCATCGTTGAGACAGGGTATGACAGCATTCACTTACGACACAACATTATCAGAGATACCCTGGCACACTGAGAACCTTTCAGTTCTAGCAAGCGGTGTTTCTCACGAATCTCTGGTTTATAGTTGAAATTTTCTAAGTTTAGAATGATTGAGAACTGGCTTTGAAATTCTAAAAAGTACTAGAGTCTTCTAGTTCTTGAAAACTTAATGATTAAAAAAGAAAGTTCATTGTCCCTCTGATATGCTTTCTAATTGTAAGCATCAAGAATCTTCAGAAAACTAGTAAAATAATTACCTTAAAGCCAAGAAATTCTAATGCTAAGTATATAACAAAGATAAACAACATTAAAAAATGTTCAAGAACATTTATTATATAACATTATGCCTCCAAATATAAACACAATCAAGAATAAATTAATAAGCAAACTGAAGTCCGTCCATACAATAGAACATAACTCAACTATTTTGTAGTAATAAAATATAACTTTTAAAAAGGAAAGAAATAATGAAAGGGCATGAGAGATGGCTGGGTGTGTTAGGGCACTTGCTACGAAGCCCAAAGATCTGAGTTCTATTTCCAGGATCCACAAAGTGGAAGAGAAAACTGACTTGTCCTGTGACATCCACATATGCCCTTCTCCTCTCTTCCAGATGTACAGGAAACATAAATGCTTGAAAAAGCTAAATAAAGATCAATGATGAATTTAGTTAAAATAATCAAAATTACACTAGAAATACAAAAAAATCAAGGAAACAAACAACTAGTTCTTTGAAAGGAGAAACAATATTAACAAAGGCTTCACCAAACAAGCCAGAAGAGATAGAAGAAACTAGTAATGGTAAAAGAAAAGCAAAAGATACCACTGAAATCCAGGGGATCACTGCAGAATGCTTTGAAAAAATATATTCTAATAAGCAGGAAAACCTGGAAGAAATGGATAAATTTCTAGGTACATATCATGTACAAAAATTAACTCAATGAGATGAAAAACCCAAAAAGATCAACAAAAAACAATGATATTGAATCACCAATTAAAAAAAAACAAAATCTCCCACAAGCAAAGTCCTGGACTGGAGAGACTTATTACCTGGTTCTACCAAGTCTTTCAATTCCCACCAACGCTTCTTAAACTACTTCACGAGACAGAAAAGACAGACTGCTTGCAAACTCATGCTATGAAGCTGGTATTACACTGACACCAAACCCAGAGAAAGAAACAAGAAAAATAACGATAAGCCAGTTTCCTTAGTAAGCATAAATGTAAAACCCATCAATAAAATATTTACAATCAAACTAAAAAATACACCAAAAAATCAAACACTAATGATCAAGCTGGGTTAATTCTAGGAACACAGGACTAGTTCAATATATTCAGCTCACATCAAAGAATAATGCATAAAAATATAGTAAATGGGGGGCAGGAGAACAGATTGCTCCAGAAAATCCAGGTTTGAATCCCTAAACCCATACAATGGCTCATAAACATCTGTTATGTTATTTCTGTTCGGCAAACATGCACATGGTGCACATACATGCACGCAAAAATTTCTGCATGTAAACCAAGATAAATAAATCTTCATAAAAATATAGCACACAAAAAGCTCAGGACAAAAATTTCATAAATATTACATGTAGAAAAAAGTTCACAAAATTCAACATCCCTTCATGCAAAACATCCTGCCTGCAGAAATCAGAGAGCGAATGATAATACCTTATGACAACAAAAGGTATATGTTGTGGAATACTTATTTACCTATATAAAGATGTGTTTCATTTGTTTATGTTGTGGAATATTTTAACTATACAAAAATGTAATGCATTTGTTTAACTATGTAAAGATGTGTTGCATTCATTTAATTATGTAAAGATGCCTTGCTGGTTTTTTTTTTCTTGCCTGCCTAACGCACCTGATTGGTCTAATAAAAAGTGACCAGCCAATAGTAAGGGAGAAGGGATAGGTGGGACTTCCGGGCAAGAAGAGTAAGAAATAAGTCAGTAAGTAGTAGAAAGTAAGTAAGTATTAGTAAGTAAGAAAGTAAGTAAGTAAGTAAATAGTAAAAAGTAAGTAAGTATTAAAAATAAGTAAGCATTAGTAAGTAAGTAATTTAGGCTTGGGGGGAAAAAAGGAGATGCCAGGGATACACCAGGGGGCAGACAGACAGATATGGAGAAAACACGCAAGTAGGACACACAGAATGAAAGGTAAAAAGCCAGCCCTAACGCAAAACATAGACAAATAGAAACAGGTTAAATTAAGCTAAAAGAGCTAGTGGGACAAGCCTAATCTAAGGTTGAACATTTATAACTACTAATGAGTCTCTGTGTCTATTTGAGAGCTAGCTGGAATCACAAAGAAAACCCTAACCATAATTATATGTAGAAAACTATAGTCAATGTTATACCAAGTAAGGAAAAATGTAAGAGCATTTTCTCTAAAATCAGGAACAAGACAAGGTTCTACCCTATATGTACTATTATTCAATCTAGTACTTGGAACTGTAGCCAAATCAATAAGACAACAGAAAGAAGTAAAATGAACACATAGATGTCAAATTATACAAATTTTAAAAAATATGAAACTCTACTTTATAAACCTAAAGGTTCCACCAGAAAAATCTTAAATCTGGTGTACACTTTCAGAAAAGAAGCAGGATCAAATCCGTTGAAGGAAATGCTGCTTGTTGGTTCCTGGCTGCCCAGATAGCTCAGATCCGAATTAATTACACAGAAACCGTATTAATTAAATCACTGCTTGGCCTATTAGCTCTAGCTTCTTATTGGCTAACGCTTATATTAATTTAACTTATTTCTATTAATCTGTATATCGCCATGTGGCTGTGGCTTACCTGGTGAAGTTCCGAGCATCTGTTTCCAGTGGCTCCATGGCATCTCTCTGAGTCCGCCCTTCTTTCTCCCAGCTTACAGCCTAGCTTTCTCTGCCTAGTTCTGTTCTTCCCTGCCATAGGCTCAAAGCAGTTCTTTATTCATTAACCAATAAAAGCAAAACACACAGACAAATGGACCTCCCACACCATTTAATAGCTTTCTACACAACAAATTTAATTAGAAATAAACTAGGGGAATAATGTCACTCACAATGGCCCTTTCCTAAACAAGATACCTAGGAATAAACCTAACCAAAGAAGTGAAGGCTTCTATAGTTAAAAGATATAAACCCCCGAGGAAGAAGATAGAAAGGCATCCAATTTTCATGGATCATCACGATAGTACTTTGTCAATGGCCATATTATCAAAAGCAACATACGACATTCAGGGAGATTCCTATCAAAATTCTAAAGAAAGTCTTCACAGAAACAGAAAAATAATAACCTTAAAATTCATATGCAAAAACATAAAAAACTAATAAGCCAAAGAAGTCTTGAGAAAAAGAGAAGGAAAGGAGGGGGTATTATTTTAAATTATACTGTACCTTATCTTAAATTATACTGTAG